GTCACGATTGTCTGGGATCCGCCAAGGAATCTACTATTGACCTGTGGGAGCCCCGCGGAGCCTATCTGGATCATCTTTGGGAGGAACTCACTGTCTGAACTCCTACTACGTTTAAACCCAGAAGGAATCATAGCAAGTGTGCGTCTTGGGCGAGGGCATCTCAAAATCTACCATATTGAACGAAACTCATGAAAATCTATGAAAATGTGAATGAAAACTGAGAAAATATTTACAAGAACCTACCAAGTGTGAAATCATATTGAAATATTGCAAACACCACCCACACACAATCAAATTCATCACACCGACAAAAAGAAACACACGACATTGAAAACAAAGAAAAAACAACCAAAAACATTGAAATTCAAAAAAAAACAAAGAAAATATAAAAAAAACAATGAAAACATAAAAACACACAAAAATCTTCAAGAAATCCAAAAACACACAAAAACAAAGAAAATTTCAAAAAAACAATGAAATTTTCAAAAAAACGCAAAAAATGAAAAATCACCTCCGAGAGGTCGCGAAAGGTTCGAGGAGGTTTCGAGGAGGTTTCGAGGAGGCTCGAGGAGGTTTCGAGGAGGTTTCGAGGAGACCGGCTCCCCTCGAAACTGGAGGCGGCTCAGACCGTCGAAATCCTATGGTTTTCACGCCGATCCACCACCTGTTCACCGTGGACAGGTGGTGGACAAGCCTGAAAATCATAGGATTTCGACGATCTGAGCCGCCTCCAGTTTCGAGGGGGGCAGGCCTCCTCGAAACCTCCTCGAAACCTCCTCGGACCTCCTCGAAACCTCCTCGAAACCTCCTCGAACCTTTCGCGATTTCTCGAGGTGAATTTTCAATTTTTTATGTTTTTTTGTGATTTTTCATTTTTTTTAACAAATTTGTCAAATATTTGCAATTTTTTTGTGTTTTTAATGATTTCAATGTTTTTTTTGCTTTTTTTGTGTTTTAGCGTTTTTTCGTAGATTTTAGCTGATTCTTATTCATTTTAATTAATTTTATAAATGTTTCATCGTTTGGGGTTGTTTGGCGTGTTTCCAACGTCTTCATAGTGATTTGCTGCGTTCGTATCCTGATTGCTTGTGTTCCTTATTTTTGAGTGTTCGCATTGTAGATCTTGTGATTTCGGTCGTATCTGAGTGTGTTCACTTGTTTTGGGATGTTTCTGAAGGTTTTGATTGTGAACTGCCGTTCTTGGAGCGTGTTGTTTTGTTTCTATGCTTTCGGCAGGTTCGGATGCTTTCTTGGCCTCGCAAACCTTCAGGAGCTTCACAAGGCTGGTGCGCACGCTGATCGGCAGAATGAACAATGGGAACTTCAACAGAGAATCAGAGCAAGCTGTTGCAGGCAACACCAACTTGCCCAGGGGAGCATCCTCCCGAAAGCCTCGATCCTCACCCTCTGTCGCGCTCGCATCCCGCACTTGGCGGTGACGGCAACAGCAGAGGCGTTGGCCGGGAGTGCCCCCTTGGGAGAGCGGCAGGAGGAGTGAAAGAGGAGGAGGAGGAGGAAGGAGGAGGGATGAAGGAGGAGGAAGAGGAGGAGGAGGAGGAGTGAGGAGTCGGAGGAGATTTGCCTTCTCTTTCCTCGGGAGGGGCTGTCAGTCGTTTCCGCGAGATCCCTGGGAGAAGTCCTCTTGGGACCGTCTCGGATGTGTCTGGACCCGAGCGCGACCAGCAGGTTCGGCTGTCTTGAGTGAGCCTCTACACCCTCCCTCCTCTTCCGATCCCCTGCAGTTGCTCATCCTCCTCCGCCTGCTCCTCTGCCTCCTTCTTGCCATTTTTGTATGCGAAGGTGGGCCACCCGCCAGCCCACCCAAAGCGAGCACTGCATCTATCCCATTGCAGCGTCGCTCGAGTGCTTAAGTCAATCTGAACCTGAAGAAGACGAATTCGAATCGGAGCTGTCGCTGCTGCTATCGCTGCTGCTGCTGCTCCCAACAGCAGCCTCAGCATCAGCAGCAGCACTGCGCTTCAGCGCCTTTGACGGAGCAGCTTTGGCATGCCGCTTATTTGCCCGGGACCGTGGCTCCTTGTAATCATCAGGGAGACGATCGCGTTCTAAGTCGGCCCAGGATGGCAGCGGCGTTTCAAACAAAACGGAACAACGCACCTCCATGTGGAGGTTCCGAGTGGGGAAACGCATGCACATATTCAGCCATTTACAGAGCCCTAGCTGAATTCGCATGTCCTCGGGTCCATGCTGTTTGCCGTGAAACGACAAAGTGCGAGTGCAGAGAGTCTTGAGCTTGCCAGGCTTGCAATGGGCGTCGCATCGGCAGCACGTGGCTCGCCATGCGTTCGGTGGCTGAAAAGACATCAGATGTGGCCCCCAATAATAGGAACGAGGGTTCATAGACAGCTTCGCCTGCCTCTTCCCCCGATTGCTTGCACCAGGCGGCGGCGGTGGCGGCGTCCAATCACGGGCGCCAATGCGCGACGAGGCGGCCAACGATTTGTCCGTAAATGCTTCTTGCGCTTTCTTCTCAAACGCCAGGGCTTTATCGGCGGCTGAGCCTGGCGTTGCTCTGGCATCCTGATCGCCCTCAAAAGTTGGAGCTCTAGTGGCCTTCTTGGGTTGGAGCTTGTCCAGGGCAGAGGTGTTTGCATCGGTTGCGCCATCTGGCTGACTACTTGTCTTGGTAGCGGTGCCAGTTTCAGATTTGCGGCGCCCTTTAGCAGGAAGTGCAAGGCCGCCACTGTCATCAAGCACCAACGTCTTCTGACATTGGCGAGTCTTTTTCCCAAAGTTCACGCCGATCAGCGCCAGGAGGGCAGCGTAATCCTTCGGCGGCTTCAAGTGCGGAATGACATCTACACCCACTTCTCGAAGTCTCGCTGCAGACATCAAGACGCACAAGTAGCTCTTACACTGGACATCCACACCATCGCGAAACCAAAACAGTTTCTCTGCCTTCCCGTTAAGCACGAACGCTGTTGGAGATGTGCGGCCAGAGTGCACAGACGCTTTCCATCCATCCTCTCGTAGATGTTGAATCATTTCCCACGATGTCATCTGTTCCAACGGGATTCCATGCCGCCGATCCAAGACACTCCGAGGATTGTGCAAGACAATTGAAAATTGAAGTCCAGTTTTCCCACGGCTAGTAAGTTGCCACGCCCGTCGAGACGATCCGTCAGGGCATGAAGAAGTATGCAGTTGTGTCGTGACACCATGCCTTTGTAGCGTCAAAAGGCAATTATGAATATGTAAATGGGCTTCGCAAGCCGTGTCGATTTCAAGGACGCCCTCGCCTTCCCAAGCTTCAGATGCAATGCAAGCTTGCAGCGCTTGCGAGACAGCTGTGGAGTCGAAATCACTGCATTCTCCGCCCGACGATCTGTATACAAGCTCAGGGCGTCGGTCCCATATTCTCATGTTGTCCAAGTCTGGCTCGTCGTTGAGTAGCCACGCCACATCTGCCCTCGTCTGGTGCGCAGATGAAGTCTCAACAGAAATCGAGATCTCTTCGACGTTGGTGTCGATGTGCGTGATGTCATGCGTGCAAACTGCGTTGGCGCTCCATGGAGCGCCGTTGTCAAGATCGGTGCGCGCACGCTTTAGGTTACCAGGGTTTTTGAGCACAAGGCGAAAGACTCGATGGGCAGTGTCGAACTTTGGGTGGATAGCCTCCTGAGCGTCCTCATCCTCGCCCATGGGCTCTCCACCATCGTCTTGAATCTTGTCGTGGTGATGCCTGTAGTCCAGCTCAGTGAGAAGCGCGGTCAAATCGCCGGTGCTGATGCCAGGTCCATCTCCAGGCCCAAGAATCTCTGCTTGCAACTCTTGGAGGCACACTGCTGGATCCCTGAGGGTACGACTCGGCAAAGCTTTGAAGGCTGAAGAGTTGTTGTCAATGATCGAGTAGAAAGAATTGGCTGATATACTGTCTTTGAAATGTGCTAACTTCATCTTGTAGATGTATCGGTCCAAGAATGAAGTGGCATTCGTGCTGTTTTCGCCAACGGAGCCCCCTACGGGGCCCTCGCCACCAGCGCCACCATCGTCGCCCGAACCACCAGCAGCGCCACCAGAACTGTCACTGGCTGGAGGGCCTCCAGGTGGGGGGACTGGTCCACCTGAGCTGCTGCCACCACCGCCTCCGGCGCCGCCGGCAGATCCTGATGGCGGCCCGCCCCCTCTAGGAGCGCTGGAACCGCCTGCGTTCGGTGACATGCACGGCCCGCCACCGTCTTCACCATCGCCATCTTTGCCATTGCCAGGACCACCGCCATCAGGGCCTGGGCCAAGTAGTGCACTTGGCAGGACCATGTACTGGGAAGGAATGTCACATCGATACACAACCTTTTAGGAAGCGGCGAAGAATACATCCGATTGAGTGATTCCTCCTCTTCTTCCTCATCATCCTCTTCCTCCTCTCCCAACCCCCACCCTCCCTGGGCTCTGCAGCATCCTCGCCGACTGGCGCCAGAGAAGGAGGAGGAAGAGAAGGAGGGGAGGAGAGGGGAGGCGGACGAGGACGAGAGGAGGGGGATCGAGCAACTGACCCCCATTCCCAACAGTTCATCCTCCTCCTCCTCGTCCTCATCCTTCTCCCTCTGCCCTTCTGCTGATGCTGCTCCTCCTCCTTTCCCTCATCCAAATCCCCGCCATTATAACTTTTCCTCCTCCCCCTCCTACTCCTTCTTCGTCTCCTCCTCCTCCTCCTCCTCCTCCTCCTCCTCCTCCTCCTCCTCCTCCTCCTCCTCCTCCTCCTCCCCCTCAGAGGTTACTCAAGGATCCCAGCTGTCCTTGTTTATGATAGAGTGCGGAATGGACCAGGCGAGTTTGTTGTTGCTGCCGAAGTTCGCAGCCAGCCGATAATCGTTGAAGCAGGGATGGTCGACCAGTCCGAGTTGCTCAACGACCTTTCGCCTGTCAGAAACCTGAGAAAGGGCTGAAACCAACTCTTCCAGCGAGTCGCTGTGTGCGCGCATGATCTCGTGTTTTCTCAGAGTGATCGACACATATGCAGGAGAATGATGGTGGCATATTTTCAACCTCTGGCTGGCAAATGCATGCAAGCGTTCCACGTTCACTTCCAAATTCGGCATGAATAGAAAACCATCCGCGTAGCGGCGTAATTCTGGTAACTGTTCAAGCTCTACGCCCCGCAAGAAAGAAACGATCTGGCCACGAATTCTACCTGGGGATGGCTGACAACATATTTTTGTCCGCCTCTCTGTTCACCCGAACCTGTTTTGTTTCACTTTGACGTGCCCCCCCTCCCAGACGTCGTTTTGACAGAATCCCGAGGGCAAACCGAGGGCAGACCGATCCCCAGAATTATTGGCCCACCCAAGGCCTTGATGACCCAGAAGCTCACGCGTGAGCGGGTGCATGCCAGCTCGCTGTTGTTCGGTGCAGCGTTGATATTGGGCCAGGCACACTGCTGCGCTCCTTACGAGATGCGAAAGCTGCCATGGCCGAGGATTGGAAAGCCATGAAATCAGGGGCGCCCCTTCGAACCAGCGAGGATACTTCGATGTACCTTCCAGTTGAAAGCGAATGTGCTTCACCTGATGGAAGGTGGAAGGGTAGGGTGCTTTCCATCTGCGGCAATGGCAGCACCGCACCAAACACGAACACTGAACAGATTTCAACGGGCTCCTCCTCGCAATAGTGGGATCATGGTGGCCAAGACCAACCAAGCGCAATGGTAGACACCGCCAAGCGTCAGTCTTGATCCGCAACTGTAAGGCGATGCGACGCTTCCCGCTCTCGAAATCCATGAGCAAAGTTGCCTTGTCGGGCTCTGCAAGACCAGCGCAATGCTCGACTACGAACTGGCCAACCTCCGCACAGAATGTATCTTCCAGAAACCGGTCAAGCTCACCGGCAGCGAGTTCTGGACATCTTCGCCCTCGCATCGGGCAGGGACAGCCACCTCCGCAGATGTTCTCTTTGAGCACCTGGCGGGCCGCTTCGACTCCTATCATCACTCTGCCAGTCCGCTGCACTCCGCTGTACAAAAAAACACTCATTCATCCTCATTGTCCTTCCCACGCCACACCGCCCTCGATTTACTCTCGCCCTTCCTCGTCCTCCCTGTCCTCCCTTCGCCACCTCCTGCTCAATTTGCTCTCGCCTGGTGTTGTTCTCACCAGGTGCGCCAGCCTCCGCTATCAAAACATTCTCGCCTCCCCCTCATCCTCCTTCTCCTCCTCTCGCCACCCCTTCCTCAAGTTGTTATCGCCCAGAGCACCTGTGTCTTGGCCTGCGTGTGGCAGCAACAAGATTGGCACCAGGCCGACATATGAGTCATGATATTATTGATCTGGTTCAAGAGATGCAGGAACGACCAAAACATCGGATTGGTGAGTGCCTCATCCACTGCTGTAGCTACACTGCCCACCGCAGTATACTTACTGTCGTCGTCCTGACCAGCCGCAGCATACGGACGAACAGGGTCGCCCTGTCCTTTGTCCAGGTACCTCTGCAAATTCCAGCTGCCGCGGATCAACTGGAGGGGGTTTGAAGAAGGATCAAACGGGGCATTGGCGACGGCAATCTGAAGGGGGGTGTCTTCTAAGGAATCTAGGTCGTCGCGGCTGATAAATGCTTTTCGCGGGCCCACGAAGCCTTGTCCCGAAACTAGCCGACGATCATGGAAGTTCAAGACACCCTGGTTCATAGCCTTACGCCCCCTAAAAATGCAACGAATCGACCCCAAATGTCTTGAACCTTTTGTGCCCTGAATGTCGATACCGATTTTCAAGACCTGCCCAGAATCGAGTGACCCCTTCACCCCCGAAACACCTCTTTACGCTTCAGGAGCCATGAGGTCACGTGCTCAATGATGTTCCAGGCGCGCCCACCGTCAAAAGCAGGGGGGCCTGATTTTAGTCGGAAGTGAACTGCGTCTGGCAAAAGGTTATGTTTGTAAAGGTCGCGAGTGTGTGGTGCATGGAAAAAGGATGCAACTCTTGCCAACATCGGCTTCATGGTCTCCCAGCAGGATAGGTTGTCAAGAAGGCCTTTGGAAAGGCCATCTATGAGGTGGAAGGTCCCAGGCACGTATAGAGACTGTCGGAAAGATACCACCGGGGTGTTGCCAACGTCCTGCTCGAGGCCACTGGTTGTACCGTCATCGTCAAGAATTTGAAGTTCGTGCCACCAGGGAAACGCATCTCTCACAGAAATGTCGTTCACAGTATTCAGTTCTGCTTCCGTGCCCATGTCTGAGGTCAGCCCAAGAAAACAAGAAGAGAGTATCGAAGTCATTCCCCAACACGTCGATTCCAACCTCAAACTATGCACAACTGCGTGGAGCTTGTGGAGCAATCCACTCTGCCGCGTTCCAAGCGCAGTCGGAGGTAAGACGTGCTTGAATATGTAAGAGTCTACAACCGTCTTCAATTCACTGTGCAGTTCACAGTGGTCCTCAGACAGAAGTTCCAAACACATCATCTCACGCGCGGCCTTGGCGCAGGAGTGCAAGTCCTCACCTCGAACACCTTGGATTTCACTGAGCTCCCAATTCCTGCCGCCTTGGGGGCTCGAGTCTACAAGTCCGAAGAATATAGGAGCGCTGCCAGAGGATATCATATCAGCGAATCTCTTCTGCATCAACAGCATGAATGCAACGTCAACACATAAACGAGCTCGTGAAATGGTGGACGCCGAAGCCACACTATGACGTGAGGACTTGAGAAGGTTTTCCAAGCTAGCTTTCCATGCTGGTGGAAGAACGCGCACTGCTTGAGCAAGGGAACCCTGCATAGTGCCTGCCGAGCGTAACGTGAAGCTCAACACCATACACTCAAGTAGGAAACCGCATTGGTACTTCCAGTAGCGACCCAACTTGCTATCCCAGCACCCTCTGTCGCATGACATGATGTTGTTATTGATGATGGTGTTCTCATCACACGCCGCCTCCGCACAACGCAACCAATAAACCATCGAAGTGAGTTGCATATGATCCTCTTCCTGATTAGTTGACGGCGGGCCTCCCATCAGAATTCTTTGGGCCCATGTACTGATCGAGTCTGCAATCCACCCAAGATTCCCCGACTTAGCCAGACCCTCCAGCGTCACAAGATCCGTAGAGGAAGCCCAGAGACTATCATGCTGTGTCTCTGACTGCTGCCAGTCGGTCACCATTCCCAAGTCATCGCGAAGCCCAGTTAAGTCACAATTGGAGTCGATCTTCACTCTGGGATCAAGTGCCACACATTCCCAGGCTCCTCCGCAGATCAAAGCGGCAACGAAGGAAGGCAGACAAATTGTTGAATACGGGATTGGTTCTTCGTTCCCAAGGTTGTTGTCGGTGAATCGTTGGGTCCAGGCGTGCACCACGTGAGCTGCTGTCGTGCCTTGAGACGTTTGAGTTCCCAGGGCACGTTCAACGCATAGAGCTGAAAGTCCGAAAGCCGCTGCCCCGCCCTTGAGAAGGTTTTGGAAACACGCTTGCCCCCCTGTCCCTGGAACAAACATACAGAGTCTCCAGCAGGTGACAAAATGAAACCCAGACCGAGCTGTCTAGAAGCCTCTCGGACAGAATTGTTTCGGAGGGGGATGGTTCGGTCGGTCGTGTTTCCAGAACTCCAACCGATGACGCAGAGCCCCGGGAAAGATAGTCGACTGGATGGAGCAGACGAGCAGCAGAAACAATATTCCAAATGCCAGCACTGCCATCGCAACCCATTGCAGCCATTGCGACTCTCTGATGCATGTTGTGGATCTGCAGTGTACCTTTGCAGTTACGATCGAATTCGAGAGCGCAAAGTCCAATTATTTTCCCAGACGATTCGTGATGTAATATCTTTGCCATTTGAGCAAGTGAAAGATGGAAGTCGTCGCAATCGGGAAGCCTGGGATCATCGAAATATAGATCCAGCAATTGAGCGCGCATGTGCTCTTCCACGTTCTTGGTCATCTGCCCAAATACATCGCGCTCTGAGCAAACCTTCCGAAACCGCCCCGGACGTCCAGACAACCAACAAATATGCGTCGGCATCCTTGCGCGGTAGCGCAAATTGCACAGAATCGGTTTGGGCCAAAAACGGCAACATCGCACCCCCCCCCCTCCTTTCCATTCACCTCCTCCCTCCCTGTGTAGCTATCCTCACTGTGTCATCCTTCTCCCCACTCCTCCTCCTCCTCCTCCTCCTTCTCATCCTCCTCCTCCTTCTTCTACGTCGCCACCTTGGTCTCCTCATCCTCCCCCACGTCCTTGTCACGACACCTCCCCCTCCGTTTTCGTGAATTGCCAACGCTTGAATGGAGTCATCAAAGTCGGTTAGGGCAGTTTGGGCAGCCATAGCCAGTCATATCGGCGGCGTGCTCTTTCGGTCGGAACTGAAAAGTCAGGAGGGCGGGGTGAAATTAACTATGCCACGCCTGCTAGGCTTTGCGCCAGTGTCGTGGATAGCGGCCGAGCTGAGAGACCACCCCCTGCGCACCCCCTGTGGTGTCGAGAAAGTGCCACGCCTGCTAGGCGTTGCGCCAGTGTCGTGGATAGCGGCCGAGCTGAGAGACCACCCCCTCCGCACCCCCTGTGGTGCACGGCCTAGTGCGCCAGTGTCGTGGATAGCGGCCGAGCTGAGAGACCACCCCCTGAGAGAAAGTGCCACGCCTGCTAGCCTTTGCGCCAGTGTCACCCCGAGCTGAGAGACCACCCCCTGCCCACCCCCTTTGGTGTCGAGAAAGTGCCACGCCTGCTAGGCTTTGCGCCAGTGTCGTGGATAGCGGCCGAGCTGAGAGACCACCCCCTGCGCACCCCCTGTGGTGTCGAGAAAGTGCCACGCCTGCTAGGCTTTGCGCCAGTGTCGTGGATAGCGACCGAGCTGAGAGACCACCCCCTGCGCACCCCCTGTGGTGTCGAGAAAGTGCCACGCTTGCTAGGCTTTGCGCCAGATAGCGGCCGAGCTGAGAGACCACCCCCTCCGCACCCCCTGTGGTGTCGAGAAAGTGCCACGCCTGCTTGCGCCAGTGTCGTGGATAGCGGCCGAGCTGAGAGACCACCCCCTGCGCACCCCCTGTGGTGTCGAGAAGTGCCACGCCTGCTAGCCTTTGCGCCAGTGTCGTGGATAGCGGCCGAGCTGAGAGACCACCCCCTGCGCACCCCCTGTGGTGTCGAGAAAGTGCCACGCCTGCTAGCCTTTGCGCCAGTGTCGTGGATAGCGGCCGAGCGGTGAGAGACCACCCCCTGCCACCCCCTGTGGTGTCGAGAAAGTGCCACGCCTGCTAGCCTTTGCGCCAGTGTCGTGGATAGCGGCCGAGCTGAGAGACCACCCCCTGCGCACCCCCTTTGGTGTCGAGAAAGTGCCACGCCTGCTAGGCTTTGCGCCAGTGTCGTGGATAGCGGCCGAGCTGAGAGACCACCCCCTGCGCACCCCCTGTGGTGTCGAGAAGGTGCCACGAGCTGTGCTGTGCTGTGCTGAGCTGAACCGTGATGGGCTGTGCTGAGCTGTGCTGAGCTGAGCCGAGCTGTGCTGTGCTGAGCTGAGCTGAGCTGTGCTGTGCTGAGCTGAGTTGAGCTGAGCTGAGCAGTGCTGTGACGTAGGGAGGAGGGGAGGTGTGAGGTGAGGTGAGACGCGGGCGCGGCGCGGCAGGGAAGAAAACCAGAACCCCACGAAGCATGTGGGGAAAAAACTGAGCATGAGGGAATCTGAGTGGTGAGTGAATCTGAGTGATGGGTGAGTCTGGTTGATGAGTGAGTGAGTGATGAGTAAGTCTGAGAGATGCCTGAGTCTTAGGATATGGGGAACAAGAACCCCACTCAGTCATCACTCAGAACGAGTCTGAGTGAGTCTGAGTGATGCGTGAGTCTGAGTGATGGGTGACTCTGAGTGATGAGTGAGTCTGAGTGGTGATGAGTGAGTCTGAGTGATGAGTGAGTCTGACTGATGAGTGAGTCAGAGTGATGAGTATGAGTGAGTCTGAGTGAGGGAGGTGAAGTGAGGTGTTCTG